TCTATTAAATTTTTAACTTTTTAACTTTTTTTACCGTCAGAAGTTGTCCGTCCTTGCTTTATCAAACGTTGTATATATATAGTGTAACTGTGTGTTGAAATAAGATTTGAATGCAGTTTTTCCCTTTCAAGATGACGTTCAATGATTATACTTTTAGTGATTGTGACAAGCAGACTGTTGCAGAAATGATTTATAATCGGAAAAATTATTTGAACGAGGTCTTTCCTAATCCACATAGCTGCAAATCATAATCTTACATGGCCAATAATATACCTAAGATTCTTTGTTCAGAAACTCATAAAATGTTGCAGCTGAAAGGTCAATAAAAAATGGAAATAAATACAAGTGGTACTGCCCCAGTTATCTGCATGGTATTTTGTGATTGTAAGAATTGCATAAACTAGTCGTTTTTCCAATGCGTCCTGCAAAACTATATTTTGCAGGTTGCAGGTTGAAACGACTTGTTTATTTGAGTTGAAGTTGAATAAACCCCACTAAATTAAATATCAAGAAATCCTCCGTATCTTACAGAGGTACAATTTTGTGGAATTTTTTACCGATGAATGCCGAATGGCGAACAGTGTAAACGGCTTCTCTAACATGATCAATAATCTTACTTTGGTCAGGGACATTAGCTTTGCGAATGTATACTGCAGAAGATGACTCGACTGCCCATTGGTACACGTTTATTAGTCACATAATGTTAATAATTAGGTAAATTATTATTGCCTGCAAATTTTTATTTAAACTAGATTAGATCTTACATTGTAATTTTTTTAATTATTATTTTGTAATTATTCTTTATTGTCTATTTACACACGACCCTACAAGCTGCAATCTTCATTACTTGTCGTGCTTAAATAAAGGTTACTTACTTACTTAGTACAATAAAGGCTAACCGCAAGCAACCTAAGCTAATTTTCCGTGACAATGGGTTCACGTGAATAATCAACGTTTGAGTTACTTATACGCATAAGAGAAGTTAACTCGGGGACGCCAGTGCACAAGCGTGACAATGCAAGAGTTACTATTATTTTTTTGTGTGTGTGTGAATTAAAAGCTCCTGGAGGTAGACGCATTCAGTGGACTCTTAACAGTTATGATAAGGTTAATCCAACAAGTGTGTATGGTGACGATGTACAGGGAAAAAGAAAACAACTTAAGAATTTGTTTTACATTGGGAAATGTGATATCAAGCCTACTTTTATCAAGGTTTGATTTTAACAATCGGTCCGTGACTTTGTGACTTCATTTTTTGCGACTCTACGAAACGCGATTTACGAGCGCGGGGCGTGACCACGAGCGCGAAGCGCGAGAATTTTTTTCGTCTCGCGCTCCGCGCTCGTGTATCGCGTTTCGCTCTCTGCGCCGCTAATCCGCCTCTTCTGCAGGCTTAAGTGCTAGTATCTCCGACTCGTTCTTGAAATTATATTACTTAATGCAAATGATAATACATATTTTCAAGCTAAATGAGTTGATTCTGCTTTGTACTAAACACTCACTAGCAAAAGCAGGTTACATCTCTGAAAACGTAATTTTTACTATCGACAAGGCCTCTTAATTTTTTCGACATCTGAGCTGAGTAATAAGACGAATTTTGTGTTTCGCGAAGTGGTTATAAATGATATTTTACGTCATGAATGAAGAAAAATAAATACTCATATATTTACAGGAAAAACTCTCCCTGGTTTAAACCAAAAACCTTTAGCATACGTGTAGCCGTACCCACACCCCTCGGGAGGGGGGACTTCCATGTGAAAAGGCCAGGGATGTTCGTCGTCTCCCCGAGCTGGTATAAATCGCGGATTTCGTTTTCACGAGGAAACGTCACTATACCCGTCAAGGTATCTTTTAGGGATGAACCCGAAAAAATAGCTGGAGTTTTAAAGAATCTATATTCGATGACAATGTCTTAAGCATTGTAGTTTGTCTCGTTCAGGGGTTTTATCAAAAAGTTCCGACAATTATTCCCGATCAGGGGATGATGGAAGTCCCCAGGGACCCACGCATACGCTTAACAACTCTCTACATCATTCTCGACCCCAGAGCTCTTCTTTTTTGCGCATGAAGAAAGCGAAGGGTCTGGGGTCGAGAATGCTCTCCACATCTAGTACGTACATGTTATTAATATGTCTCTCGGTCAGCGCTCTGTTTTCACAGTATAGTACGGACCGCTAAAATTTAAAGCTGATTTTGTTGCCAAAATATTTCGTGATTTATCACCGAGTGTTCTCAACTTTTATTGCTTTAAATTGTGCTAACGACTTAACAACGATTTCAAATTGACTTGTTTTGCTGCAGACCTGCTTCAGAAATTTGAAGCCATTCTGCGTGAATTGAAATCGTTCCCGAACCCGTCAGACACACGTACAGTAGAGATTTAATAACACTTACTAAGCTACGGATCCTCGTGTTTTAATTTCCCATCGATTTATGGCCCGCGCGCTTGGGCCACAAATCAAAGGGGAGAAAAACTCGGTCCGTAACTTAATTTACGGACCTCGAACTCAGTTAGTAAGAGGTGCGGCTTAACTCATTTTCTCGTCGCAAGCCTTCATGTTTTGCGACTCCAAGATGGCCGCCAGATCAAGATCAAAATTATCCAACACTCAGCAACAGGGGCGGATCCATGGTTTTTCATGGGGGGGGGAGGGGTGGTTGGTACCTTTGGGTTGCAGAATCAATGTAGCATGTCCCCCCAGTGTTGCAATTTGAGAATTGAAGTGTAACCTGCAATCTAGCCTCCACTATTGGTCATCTCTCATACATGTACTCTTATTTTAACCTCTCCACAACGCCAATGGCCCTGACTCCTGAAATAAACTTTCGACAATGGCTAATTAATTAACGACTGACGAACAGTGTATATGTTATTGTAAAAGGTCACCAAACTTGATTTGTGCCGCGCGTCGTTGGTTTCTATTTCTGCTTGAATATTGTCTCACTGATACATTTTGATCATCGTTGTTATTTATACGCTACAATGAGCATATTTTTTAAAAAATAAGAATGTTGCACCTCCTAAAACCAAAATTTGGTGTCACATTGACGTCTTCCTCCCTTTAACGGCCACAACTGCACTGCTGTAGCTGTTAGAGGATAACGTATTTTTATAACTATTTCAGCTAGAAACAAAAACACTAACTTGTAATTACATTGAGGTACCTGACTAGAGTGTTTGCCTCTTTATTCTACCATAATATTTACCATTTTTTCAATTATTTTAATTTTGTTTTTGTTTCTCTAAATCCGCCCCTGAGCACGGCACAAACGCTTGCATTGCAGTCTACTTAAGAGACCGTCGGCGTGCAGTTAGTGAGTGCTTTGATTTTATCTATAAAAATAAACTTCATCATAACCAAACTGAACTTGCTATCAATTCCTTGTCGATGAAGTTTAAACGGATGAATGAAGTAATACTCGTTATGTGGAAAGTAAAGATGCCAGAAAAACCTGCTATCACTCACCCGAGGATCCCCTAAATCTCCTGGAATGTAGTATCAAGGAAGACGTCTAATGTTCTCATTTTGTTCTAAAAGGCGATATATTGTTGGCACAGTGATTTCAAGGAATACTTTTTGTTTATAAAACGTTTCTGAAAGAGTTGAAAACGATGTGGCGTGCTTTTGGGGAACGTAGAAGACGTCCGAGCGACCGCCAAAGCATAGCCGTGTTCCATTACCATTCTTCACAAGAGCCAGAGCATAATCATTGTGCCAATGTTTGGTTTCCCAGGTTACTTCACATGTTGATAGACAGACTATCCAATTGTGCTTCCAAAGGAACCATGCACACTGACACTTCACCCAACCAGTAGACAGTACGTCCAATTCACGAAAATCTCACCATTCTGGCATGCAGATTATCAGGAATTCCCTCACAACAAGAGACATTTCGGTAAAAGCTGCCAGTCAAACTCCAGTCTTGGAGAGGGAGTACACAAAAACAGTATTCTGTCTATACCTCAGAAAATGGATGGTGTTATGCAGTTCAAGGGGTTTTGATCCATACCAAGCCACCTCAGTACGGGCCTTGGATGTGAAAATTTGTCCCAAGACTTTTGTCCATGATTGTAGTTTTAAGCTGATAATAATTCTAGAAACATATTCGTACTCGGTAGAACGAATCATGAAAGTTGTGCAGTTAGCCGTACCTTAATGGCGTCCATAACTTGATCTGCTTGCCAACCAGACACGAAGTCCTTGGATGATAGCTTTTGCTCGTGTGGAAAATTTGGCCACGTTTGAATAGCGTCGCGCACAGATGACGTCAGGAGAATTTAGCCTCCGGAGTGACTCGGATAAACAAACTATTTCCAGCATGGGCTGCTTCTTTGAGAGCAACGAATGGAACAACGGCGCACGTGAGCTCTTTAGGGCGATACTTGGCGATTAATTGCGCAATTCGATGGCCTCTCTAGCCTAAAATGTTAGAGAAAACCCACAACTTGCACCTTGGAATAATAATAATACAGATTTTGTGATGAAGAAAATGAGATTTGAGCGAATTTTGAAAATTTTGTCCTACGGTGTTATTGTAACACTGTGGGACAACTTTTTAAAAATTCGCTCAAATCTCGTTTAAACTCTCCAGAATGAGAAAAAATGACACCACTGAATGTTCAAGAGTCTTTATTCGGTAAATTACCCATACATTGAACGAATTTAATGTCAACTCCTGATCTCCATACAAACTGGCGCTGGTGTAAACTGGCGACTCGCTCGCGGGGAGTCGTAGTAATTTATACCTTGAGGCAACAATTTCGTTTGATTTACCAGTTGGATCCCAAAATCTGCATCTTTAGAATCAAAAAAAAAAATCCCTTTCATTTGATCATTTTGGCCACGTTCTCACCGGCTAGAGTGCTTCACGAGATTTGGTCAATCTAGCAGTAAGCTCTCTTTGAATAACAACAATGGTTGGCTGAAGGTCACTTCGTTGCGCAGACTGGAGCACGAAAAACTTGGTCGTTGTTTATAGGTGGTTCATCTAAGACGAGCCTGAAGGGATAAAATGAGAACTGGAATTTGCCTATTTTTTCCCTGGGAAAATGGGATTTAGGTTATTGAAACTGGGATTTATCGCTAAGAAATATATGAGTAGGTGACTGGGATCTGGGCAAAAAATAGGCTGTGAAATGGCACTTGTGCACTTCTTGGCCTGGCATGGAAAATGGGATTTATTCCCTCAACCCCATTTTAGGGCCCTTTCTAAGGTGCTTCCGTTTATGGAGTCTGCATTAAAATCTTTTTTTTTTTCCTTCATTCTTTGTGCTGATTACCTCATCCAGCTATAAGTAATATATCACACACGCGAGAGCGTGCTTTACCATAATTCCAAAGACCAAGAAGAGAGTTGAAAATAGGACAAACCGTGCGGTATTTTTGACGAGTTTGGATATGTTTGGAAATGTGTTGACAACTGTCTTGAGTGTTTGATATATCTTCTCAAAATAGAAAATAAAATTAAGGAGAAATCTGGAGACGAAATCATAAAAGTTTTTGTTGGTAAAGTTCAGATCCAAGCAGTGTCACGATTATGATTTCGTTTGTTTAAACTTCACTAATTAGTAACAACATTGAAAGGCAGTTCATTTGTTTAATTTACAAAATCCTTTTTTTGATTTCTATATGGCTGGTTATACTGTGAGTTTGTGTTAGGACAAAACTATTAGACTAGCAGTTCGTGATCGCTTTGACCTTCTCCAAGAGAATAAACTTGAACATAGCTAAATTAAACTTGGTGTCGAGTTCATCTCGATGGAGTTTAAAAGGATGAATAAAGCAGAGGTCGTCGTTCGATAAGTAAACATACCACAAGAACCTGCCATCACTAGTTTCAGGGTCGTTTTTGCCCCCAGGGATGTAAGATCCAGGCAGGAGGCCGATGTTTTCGTTCCGTTCCAGAAAACGATTGATAGTGGGTACGGCGATTTCTAGAAAAACTTTCTGTTTGAGAAACGTTTCTGAAATAACTGCGAACAGGTTGGCGTGCTTTCGAGGAATGTACAGAACGTCCGAGCGACCGCCAAAGCATCGCAATGTCCCATTGCTGTTTTTCAAAAGAGTATTTAATAGAAATGTTGAGTTAAATGTTTCGGAAGCGTGGATATTCGATACGTCTTTACAAGCCCTTTGACAACTTTTCAAACCGTACGGAGTGTTCAGCCAGTACCACTGAGTGCCCGCAGGCTCGTTAACCGGATACGAAATAATCGAATAAGATTCCCAGATCATCTCCCGGTCAAAATCCGGGAAGTTCCAGTATTTCAGTATGACGTCATCGCTGATGTACAAATATCCCTGATGACCCGGATGTTGCCGTATTGCCCTGCCAAGACACTCGTAACCTAGGAAACCTTTGATGATGTCGACTGTGAGAATGTCTGGGCGCGTTGTATTGTGGGGTGGACCGCAGAATAACAGATGCGGGAAAGCAGGTTGATACAGAGCAACAAGATGAGGTATACTGTCGTAGAATGGATAATTGAAGACAATAACAAGCAAGATGTCTTTGAAGGCGTCTTTTAAACAAGTTCCATCTTCTTTGCCAAGCTGACGGCTTTTATTTTCAAGTTTGTCCACCGTAAAATTTCTAGAGAAAGTGAAACCTTCAGATAAAAAAACAAAAAAACAGAATTGAAAATAAACGAAATAAGTTAATTTTGTGAAGATATTTATTATTTACCTATTGATTTTACAATAACAGGTAATCTGTGCGCAGCTTAAAGAGTTCAAAACGTCCCTATATAGGTAAAGCTACAATTCGTCTTTTCAATTATTTTCGAAAGGGAAAAACCAGGAGCAGGTCGAGATGAGGAAGATAAAATAAAGAGAGGTGAATTCAAATCTAGATAATATAGAAGATGGACTCTCGAAGGAGAAGTTAATTCTTTAAAAAAGAGGCGTACTTGTAAATGAATCCTTGTCCTTAAGCCTACAGCGTCTTAGAACCCATCCAGAAATTCTGATGGGTTACCATCCGTTGATGCAAGAACTTATTTCTTTAATTACATCTTGACTTGTAAGTGAGCTGTGAAAGCTTACCATGCATTACATGTCTTTCTCCTTCCAAATTTTGCTTCAAGATTGTCGATCCCCACGGTATGTTTGCTAAAAGATGAATAAATTCACATATAAATAACTTTACAAACGCCATCGTTTTGCTTCTCTAAACTAAAATTCTGTTGCGTGTGCCTGTAAACGGCGAAACCTTTCAATTAGCCACTAATCGAGAAAAAAGCGCTCGCCAAAAGTCGTGAGGGCATTGCACGTGCGGTGTAAATCACGTGCTGTGTTTGCTTGTTTGTAAGTCCAAGATGTGGGAGGAAATCAGGGGAAATTTGTAAATGTCTTTCGAGTCTGCCAAGCGGTCTTATTTTTGGATCTTTACTGTCATGTGTGGGTGGTAAGCCGAGGGGAGTAATGAAATTTCGTCATGTTGTCTTTCTAAACACAGGTTTTCTCCAGTTATGCGTCACGCGCAACGTCTCTGCTTCACGGCACGTGTCACGCGCTCATCTGTACCCAAAACATACGTCACGCACACCTATTTCATCACTCATCACTAAACAGAAAGCCCTTACCTGAGTAAAATACCAAGATCACAATAACTATTATGAATACGAGATACCAATGATATTGGCTGGCGATGTTCTTCTGTAGGCAAAGAAAATATCGGCACAGTTACCATTATGTTAAGAAGTAATGCTCCTAGTTTCTTAAATACTAGAAACCGAGATAAGTTCGAGCAGTATGGGTCTACTTTGTCGCTATAAAGATTCCATGGAGATGTTATTTACGAGCTGGGGCAGTATACTTGGTATCCGGCCATTAATACATTATTTTAATTTTGTTTCATTCGTCAAATCTATTTTTCTCNGAAGTGTAACCTGCAATCTAGCCTCCACTATTGGTCATCTCTCATACATTTACTCTTATTTTAACCTCTCCACAACGCCAATGGCCCTGACTCCTGAAATAAACCGTTTCGACAATGGCTAATTAATTAACGACTGACGAACAGTGTCTATGTTATTGTAAAAGGTCACCAAACTTGATTTGTGCAGCGCGTCGTTGGTTTCTATTTCTGCTTGAATATTGTCTCATTGATACATTTTGATCATCGTTATTTATACGCTACAATGAGCATATTTTTTTAAAAATAAGAATGTTGCACCTCCTAAAACCAAAATTTGGTGTCACATTGACGTCTTCCTCCCTTTAACGGCCACAACTGCACTGCTGTAGCTGTTAGAGGATAACGTATTTTTATAACTATTTCAGCTAGAAACAAAAACACTAACTTGTAATTACATTGAGGTACCTGACTAGAGTGTTTGCGTCTTTATTCTACCATAATATTTACCATTTTTTCAATTATTTTAATTTTGTTTTTGTTTCTCTAAATCCGCCCCTGAGCACGGCACAAACGCTTGCATTGCAGTCTACTTAAGAGACCGTCGGCGTGCAGTTAGTGAGTGCTTTGATTTTATCTATAAAAATAAACTTCATCATAACCAAACTGAACTTGCTATCAATTCCTTGTCGATGAAGTTTAAACGGATGAATGAAGTAATACTCGTTATGTGGAAAGTAAAGATGCCAGAAAAACCTGCTATCACTCACCCGAGGATCCCCTAAATCTCCTGGAATGTAGTATCAAGGAAGACGTCTAATGTTCTCATTTTGTTCTAAAAGGCGATATATTGTTGGCACAGTGATTTCAAGGAATACTTTTTGTTTATAAAACGTTTCTGAAAGAGTTGAAAACGATGTGGCGTGCTTTTGGGGAACGTAGAAGACGTCCGAGCGACCGCCAAAGCATAGCCGTGTTCCATTACCATTCTTCACAAGAGCCAGAGCATAATCATTGTGCCAATGTTTGGTTTCCCAGGTTACTTCACATGTTGATAGACAGACTATCCAATTGTGCTTCCAAAGGAACCATGCACACTGACACTTCACCCAACCAGTAGACAGTACGTCCAATTCACGAAAATCTCACCATTCTGGCATGCAGATTATCAGGAATTCCCTCACAACAAGAGACATTTCGGTAAAAGCTGCCAGTCAAACTCCAGTCTTGGAGAGGGAGTACACAAAAACAGTATTCTGTCTATACCTCAGAAAATGGATGGTGTTATGCAGTTCAAGGGGTTTTGATCCATACCAAGCCACCTCAGTACGGGCCTTGGATGTGAAAATTTGTCCCAAGACTTTTGTCCATGATTGTAGTTTTAAGCTGATAATAATTCTAGAAACATATTCGTACTCGGTAGAACGAATCATGAAAGTTGTGCAGTTAGCCGTACCTTAATGGCGTCCATAACTTGATCTGCTTGCCAACCAGACACGAAGTCCTTGGATGATAGCTTTTGCTCGTGTGGAAAATTTGGCCACGTTTGAATAGCGTCGCGCACAGATGACGTCAGGAGAATTTAGCCTCCGGAGTGACTCGGATAAACAAACTATTTCCAGCATGGGCTGCTTCTTTGAGAGCAACGAATGGAACAACGGCGCACGTGAGCTCTTTAGGGCGATACTTGGCGATTAATTGCGCAATTCGATGGCCTCTCTAGCCTAAAATGTTAGAGAAAACCCACAACTTGCACCTTGGAATAATAATAATACAGATTTTGTGATGAAGAAAATGAGATTTGAGCGAATTTTGAAAATTTTGTCCTACGGTGTTATTGTAACACTGTGGGACAACTTTTTAAAAATTCGCTCAAATCTCGTTTAAACTCTCCAGAATGAGAAAAAATGACACCACTGAATGTTCAAGAGTCTTTATTCGGTAAATTACCCATACATTGAACGAATTTAATGTCAACTCCTGATCTCCATACAAACTGGCGCTGGTGTAAACTGGCAACTCGCTCGCGGGGAGTCGTAGTAATTTATACCTTGAGGCAACAATTTCGTTTGATTTACCAGTTGGATCCCAAAATCTGCATCTTTAGAATCAAAAAAAAAAATCCCTTTCATTTGATCATTTTGGCCACGTTCTCACCGGCTAGAGTGCTTCACGAGATTTGGTCAATCTAGCAGTAAGCTCTCTTTGAATAACAACAATGGTTGGCTGAAGGTCACTTCGTTGCGCAGACTGGAGCACGAAAAACTTGGTCGTTGTTTATAGGTGGTTCATCTAAGACGAGCCTGAAGGGATAAAATGAGAACTGGAATTTGCCTATTTTTTCCCTGGGAAAATGGGATTTAGGTTATTGAAACTGGGATTTATCGCTAAGAAATATATGAGTAGGTGACTGGGATCTGGGCAAAAAATAGGCTGTGAAATGGCACTTGTGCACTTCTTGGCCTGGCATGGAAAATGGGATTTATTCCCTCAACCCCATTTTAGGGCCCTTTCTAAGGTGCTTCCGTTTATGGAGTCTGCATTAAAATCTTTTTTTTTTTCCTTCATTCTTTGTGCTGATTACCTCATCCAGCTATAAGTAATATATCACACACGCGAGAGCGTGCTTTACCATAATTCCAAAGACCAAGAAGAGAGTTGAAAATAGGACAAACCGTGCGGTATTTTTGACGAGTTTGGATATGTTTGGAAATGTGTTGACAACTGTCTTGAGTGTTTGATATATCTTCTCAAAATAGAAAATAAAATTAAGGAGAAATCTGGAGACGAAATCATAAAAGTTTTTGTTGGTAAAGTTCAGATCCAAGCAGTGTCACGATTATGATTTCGTTTGTTTAAACTTCACTAATTAGTAACAACATTGAAAGGCAGTTCATTTGTTTAATTTACAAAATCCTTTTTTTGATTTCTATATGGCTGGTTATACTGTGAGTTTGTGTTAGGACAAAACTATTAGACTAGCAGTTCGTGATCGCTTTGACCTTCTCCAAGAGAATAAACTTGAACATAGCTAAATTAAACTTGGTGTCGAGTTCATCTCGATGGAGTTTAAAAGGATGAATAAAGCAGAGGTCGTCGTTCGATAAGTAAACATACCACAAGAACCTGCCATCACTAGTTTCAGGGTCGTTTTTGCCCCCAGGGATGTAAGATCCAGGCAGGAGGCCGATGTTTTCGTTCCGTTCCAGAAAACGATTGATAGTGGGTACGGCGATTTCTAGAAAAACTTTCTGTTTGAGAAACGTTTCTGAAATAACTGCGAACAGGTTGGCGTGCTTTCGAGGAATGTACAGAACGTCCGAGCGACCGCCAAAGCATCGCAATGTCCCATTGCTGTTTTTCAAAAGAGTATTTAATAGAAATGTTGAGTTAAATGTTTCGGAAGCGTGGATATTCGATACGTCTTTACAAGCCCTTTGACAACTTTTCAAACCGTACGGAGTGTTCAGCCAGTACCACTGAGTGCCCGCAGGCTCGTTAACCGGATACGAAATAATCGAATAAGATTCCCAGATCATCTCCCGGTCAAAATCCGGGAAGTTCCAGTATTTCAGTATGACGTCATCGCTGATGTACAAATATCCCTGATGACCCGGATGTTGCCGTATTGCCCTGCCAAGACACTCGTAACCTAGGAAACCTTTGATGATGTCGACTGTGAGAATGTCTGGGCGCGTTGTATTGTGGGGTGGACCGCAGAATAACAGATGCGGGAAAGCAGGTTGATACAGAGCAACAAGATGAGGTATACTGTCGTAGAATGGATAATTGAAGACAATAACAAGCAAGATGTCTTTGAAGGCGTCTTTTAAACAAGTTCCATCTTCTTTGCCAAGCTGACGGCTTTTATTTTCAAGTTTGTCCACCGTAAAATTTCTAGAGAAAGTGAAACCTTCAGATAAAAAAACAAAAAAACAGAATTGAAAATAAACGAAATAAGTTAATTTTGTGAAGATATTTATTATTTACCTATTGATTTTACAATAACAGGTAATCTGTGCGCAGCTTAAAGAGTTCAAAACGTCCCTATATAGGTAAAGCTACAATTCGTCTTTTCAATTATTTTCGAAAGGGAAAAACCAGGAGCAGGTCGAGATGAGGAAGATAAAATAAAGAGAGGTGAATTCAAATCTAGATAATATAGAAGATGGACTCTCGAAGGAGAAGTTAATTCTTTAAAAAAGAGGCGTACTTGTAAATGAATCCTTGTCCTTAAGCCTACAGCGTCTTAGAACCCATCCAGAAATTCTGATGGGTTACCATCCGTTGATGCAAGAACTTATTTCTTTAATTACATCTTGACTTGTAAGTGAGCTGTGAAAGCTTACCATGCATTACATGTCTTTCTCCTTCCAAATTTTGCTTCAAGATTGTCGATCCCCACGGTATGTTTGCTAAAAGATGAATAAATTCACATATAAATAACTTTACAAACGCCATCGTTTTGCTTCTCTAAACTAAAATTCTGCTGCGTGTGCCTGTAAACGGCGAAACCTTTCAATTAGCCACTAATCGAGAAAAAAGCGCTCGCCAAAAGTCGTGAGGGCATTGCACGTGCGGTGTAAATCACGTGCTGTGTTTGCTTGTTTGTAAGTCCAAGATGTGGGAGGAAATCAGGGGAAATTTGTAAATGTCTTTCGAGTCTGCCAAGCGGTCTTATTTTTGGATCTTTACTGTCATGTGTGGGTGGTAAGCCGAGGGGAGTAATGAAATTTCGTCATGTTGTCTTTCTAAACACAGGTTT